TAACACCATTGCCTATACTTTAGGACATTAATAGTACAGTTGTTGAGAGAAGTCTTACCATTGCTGATGTTCTAAGAGATTAACACCATTGCCTATACTTTAGGACATTAATAGTACAGTTGTTGAGAGAAGTCTTACCATTGCTGATGTTCTAAGAGATTAACACCATTGCCTATACTTTAGGACATTAATAGTACAGTTGTTGAGAGATGTCTTACCATTGCTGATGTTCTAAGAGATTAACATCATTGCCTATACTTTAGGACATTAATAGTACAGCTGTTGAGTTCTTCATCTTTGCCATTGCCTATACTTTAGGACATTAATAGTACAGCTGTTGAGAGATGTCTTACCATTGCTGATGTTCTAAGAGACTAACACCATTGCGTATACTTTAGGACATTAATAGTACAGCTGTTGAGTTCTTCATCTTTGCCATTGCCTATACTTTAGGACATTAATAGTACAGCTGTTGAGAGATGTCTTACCATTGCTGATGTTCTAAGAGATTAACACCATTGCCTATACTTTAGGACATTAATAGTACAGCTGTTGAGAGAAGTCTTACCATTGCTGATGTTCTAAGAGATTAACACCATTGCCTATACTTTAGGACATTAATAGTACAGCTGTTGAGAGATGTCTTACCATTGCTGATGTTCTAAGAGATTAAGAGCTCCCAGCTGGACTCCTCCCACCACCAGAATCTGTAAAATCAGTGATGTGATATTGGTCAAGCTGACCATACTTCCCTGAGGTTGCTTGGATGCTAACTTGTGGTAGGCTGCTGTGTTGCTCACTGTGTGTATACATGAATATAGACATATGACAGTTTCATATATAAGTATTTGGTGAATATTTTCCACTGATTTACTAAAAAGTTTTTTAAGAAAAATGAATAAAAACAGCTTTGGTTATTCTCTTGTCCAATATTCATATAAATAACAGTTATTTAATAACTGCCATATGAACCTTTAATAAAGCTTCTGTATTGTAAAATCATGAGATACCATTAACTTGTTACCATTCACATAACTTACAATTTGGTAGGCAACTTACTGACAACGGCAAGGGTTGTGATGATTCCCAGATCAATGCACAGAAGCATAGTATCAGCCATGATACTATATTTCTATAAAAGAAGAAAATTAATATCAAATGTAAACAAGAAAATATTTAAAAAATTAACAGAATATTTCTATAACTTTTTTTGTGACTTACATGACAATGGTATTTAATTGACTCACCTAGGTTTGAGACAAAACTGGTAGACACACATTGCTCAAAGAGAAACTAAACATTTTTGTTAATGAAAACTGTACCTGAAGATACTGTTCATTATCAAGTCTTAGCCTACTTTGCTAATTTAGCAACAGTTCATGGACTAAGAGAGTAAATGCTAGAAACAGTATACAGGGATACTGAAAAAACCGTAAATATGCATTCCAGAGGTTCTAGATGTTAAGCAAATGCAATATGCCAACTGAATGACGGACAAAAGTTTCTTTATTCCTTACATGACTTTACCTTGCTCTCCGACTTGTCAGAGTCTGAATCAGACTGATGTTGTAAATTCACAGACATATCTTGAGTATAAATACCTTTGTAACATATCTGATTTTTTGTGTAAAACAGACATGTACATTTTGCTAAACGACTCAGAGATTTTGTGTAGATAAATTTTGTAAATCAACATTTCTTCTCCGTGTTTTGAAATTACTATCATCAGAACAGTCATATGATGATTTTCATTAAGACTTTTAAGATATGAAATGTAAGAAACATACTATCAAGAATATAATGGTGAACGTTTGAACCCTATGACCTAAATATTCTGTTTTCTGTTACAGTTCAAACTAGTGATAATACAACGTAGTTTAAAGTAATATCTGACCTAAAATTTACTAAAACTTTATTACAACACTAAATAAAAGTTTCAAGTATGCTTATGATATATTTTCTATCACATTTTATCAACTGTTATATAAATAATAACATTTTCCTAATCTGAAAACATATTTCCAATAAATACCTCTTCACACCTCTTATGCATATACTTATGAGGTTTGCATGCCGCTAAGCCTTGAACTAACTTCAGGTGTTTAATGTAACCTGAACTGGTCCATGATGACATCATCATGCAACAATAGCCCTCCACCAAAAGGAGGTTGACACAATCTCCTTGCACAGTAACTCCCCCTATGCACTTGTACTAATTTCATTCTTAAATGAGGCAAGAAAAAAAGGGGCACCAGAAGAGGGAAAAGTGGGTGGTAATGAGTGAAGAGGTGAGTATCTATCAGAAATACATTTTCAAATTAGGGAAATGTTAATTTCTGAGACGATAACTCATATTCGCATAAACAAATGCTAGAATCCCACATTGAAGCAGTGGAAGGGCCAGTGCAAAATTTTATTTAGTTGGGCTCCCTTCAGAAAGTGCCCAAAAGGAAAGTCCATAGAGTATGACACCCATGGGAGACAACATCTCATTTGTACTAGGGTATACTCTTCACCCACCCAAGTTGAAAGGGAGGGAGAGGCAAAAGAACCTGAAGTGTTGTAGGGGTAGATGGAATGGGATCATGACCAACAAAGCACCTGCTCACAAGTGGTTGGCAAGCCAATGTGTGTCATGTGGTTAGTGCACAATCAGACCATATGGTGTGTGCTCATCTCGACTCTACTGGACAGACATTGGCTGTAGGAGGACACATTAGCTATGTGATGGGTGACTCATACAACATTGACAGTGTCATCACTGCCCTACTTCTCACTGTCTTGTGCTAAGCTCAACTGGTGAGGATTCTCTATGGTCTACTACCCCAGGAACTGGTAAGTGATAAGGGTCTCTTGTGCTCCACTTGAAGAAGAGAGGGAGAGAATTCACATTGGGGAGACCTGGAGAAGTGCCCAAATCCCCATCAGAGCAACAGCTGGAAAGATCTTTTACTAGAGACAGTGCAATGGGAGTATATAAGTGTGATGGAAAAGGTTGAAGAAGCATCAGTGACACAGACATCCAAAAAACAGCATCCACAGACAAAGTCTTGAAAGAAAGGTGGTACAATAAGCAAAAAGCCAATGGCTCAAATGGGGCATGCAAACCCATATTAAAGTCCCAGTCAGGTATGGGAGTCAGGCAAGGAGATCGGTAAAGAAGGAAGGAGCAGAATAGACTGGAGGGGGCATGGAAAGAAAACACTCTGTGATACCAGGAAAGGCAAAATGAAGGGGACAATGCCACATGAGAACAAGCAATGATAGAAACTGACAAACCATTGTTGAACAATCAAGTAAAAATGTCAGAAAGATGGTTCACACTAGAATGGTCATGAAGAAAAGAGTGGTGGATGGTCCATTAACGAAAGACCTGTCATTGTCTAAGTTAACAGCCAAAGTGGAAAGGTGATAGGAATAGGACAAGAAAAATGCTACATGATCAGAGTCTGGCTCAATAGGTGATATACTAGACAAATGCCACACATGAAGATGGAAGGAGTAGAGAAAGGAAGAGTCTGGATGCTAAGCAATGAAGCAGAAGAAACTAAGACTGAGCTGATCAAGGAGGTACCACCAGGAGGATGCGACAAGGAGAGTAATGTATTAAGGCAAGGACCTGAGGGAGGAGTCAAAGAGGAGAATAGGCACATAGAAAATGGTGAGAGCATCGACAGCAAGAGCTGAAAGATAAGGAACAAGGAACCAGAAGAGAGGAAGCTTGGGATGGAAAGGTACCCATAAGAGGTGTGCCCAACTGAGAGGGAACCCAATGAAAGATTTGGGTGTTAAGAGAACACTTCTGTGAGTAGAAAACAGTCCTGCTGAGAAAGATGGCCCAAAACAAGGTTCATAGCTCCTGGCACATGACAAGCAACAACACAAATTCGATGGGAATTAGCCCAAAAAAGGAGGTCCAATGCTTGAAAGCAAAGAGTCCTGAAATGGGTCCTAACTAGATAGTTGATGCGAGGAATGACCATGGAATTGTCAGAGTGGATCATGACCAACTGATCCATCAAAAGAAGTAGGAAATGGAAACATGGCCGAGGATTTGCAAGAAGTTTGAGCAAATTGATGTGGAGTGAATTCTTGTCCCGGGTCCAATTGTCAGAAGACATGTTCTTGTT